AGAGTGCCCAATATCTGGGGTTAGTGTATGGGCCAGAACGGCCGTTTTGAGCCTGCCGCCAGCAGTTGTACAGCACAGCTAGGGTGCTGAGTATGAAATTGGATAAGCTAAATTTGTTCGCCCCAGATGTGAGGATGAGGTGTTTTGATACGCAGGTATGAGCAATACTGATGTTGTTGTTGTTACAGGGTGGTATAGCTTCACCAGCGGCCCCCTTTCCCAAGGCAGTTCCCTGCTCTCCCCTGCGAGAGGGGCACCCAATTCCATTCACCCCATCCGACTTCAGAATGTATTCGTTGGGTTCAGCAACTCACCACCAGCATCCAACCAAACTTAGCGGATTAACGGCGCCTCAACTTAGGTCCTGGGCGGCTCACAAAATGCTATAATCACGTCTGCCAGCCACCTCTGCCAGCCACCTCTGCCAGCCACCTCTGCCAGCCACCTCTGCCAGCCACCTCTGCCAGCCATCTCTGCCAGCCACCTCTGCCAGCCACCTCTGCCAGCCACCTCTGCCAGCCACCTCTGCCAGCTCTGCCAGCCACCTCTGCCAGCCACCTCTGCCAGCCACCTCTGCCAGCTCTGCCAGCCACCTCTGCCAGCCACCTCTGCCAGCCACCTCTGCCAGCCACCTCTGCCAGCCACCTCTGCCAGCCACCTCTGCCAGCCACCTCTGCCAGCCATCTACAGTTGTAAGGCTGTCAAATGTGGGGGCCGTTTATGCTAGCTGCGGTCTTGGACATGCTCAGGAGGCGGAGTGATGCGAGCAACCTTGCGGAGGGGCCCTTCGAGGCATACCTAAAGGACGGAGCGGTTTAGCTTCAGATATTGTTCATGCGGCAAATTGTGGGAGCTGTCAGACCAATGCATCGCCTCCTGTTCGCTGAATTGTCGCGGCTACCCCTACACTACCACATTTTCAAACAGATTGTGAGGAACTGTGTCCGTTCACAGGGTGGGTCTGTGGCACACCGAGTTTTGCGACAGGAGGTACTTGAGTCCCTCTCCAACCCCCAAGGGGCTGAATGGGTCACTACTCCGTTTCCTAAGTTTTCTGGGGCACGGCGTATGGAAGAGGCCCCAAGGGCCCCAAGGCCCCAAGGGCCCCAAGGGGCCCCAAGGTCCCAAGGTAGACGAACGAGTGGAATGGCTGATGGACAGGAGGTGTGGTATTGGAGTTCAAGGACCGATTGGTGAGTGGTTGGATCACGGGATAACTGAGTTGTGGTGAGCCCACATACACTCCAACATTCCACCAGACGTGCTGGCTCACATTTCATACCCTCCAACATGCGCTGTTGATGATCAAATCCCTCATCCGCACGAATATCATTATAGGCTGGGCATCGCTCCCGGTTGCTTCCCATTTGATGGGTACTCCTCTGGCGAGACAGTCAGACGCGCATGGTCCCAGCATGAGCATATTGTATTGTATTGTATTGTTACAGAGTGGGAGGCTTCTGGGCCGCTTTATCACATTGTCAGTTCTAGATCATTTATCACCTTATAGCACCATCCACCACTACCACACTGTACTTCGCCATACGAACTGTAAGTCCAAGGCGGCGGATCCAGCCTTCAGGGACCCCTCCGCATCCATTCACCTGAACACCCGAAGAGACGGAAGGTTCGGCAATCGCCACCAATCCAGCGTGGGAATCTGGTCCATCATCTGTGACCTCAACTCCACATCTCAGCAGCTAGCCATAATCTCGCGCTCCCGACTAATTCGGGGGTCTCCCCAGGAATCGAACCCAGGACCTTAAACCGCTAATTGCAGTAGTGTCAACCCAGACCAGACCATATGACGGACACTAAGAAGTGGGAACTTGAACGCGTCTGGTGAAAATGCTGGAATGTATATGATCCCACCGCAACTCTATTGTTCCCCACACACGCACACACGCACACACACACACACGCGCACACACACACACACTGCCGGAGGGCTCGCTGCACGTGATACTGCGCGGCTTCACGGTCAACCTCGCCACACACCTACAGCTACAGCTACAGGGGGTCACGGAGCTTCGGGCCTGCATGCATGCAGCGTACGAGATGAAGTGAGGCAGCAACAGCCGCCGCAGCCAGCTCCAGCAGCCACAGCCGCAGCCGCAGCAGCGGCAGCAGCAGCCCCCATGCAGCAGGATTGCTGCATGCCAGAAACACTGCGACAGCTGTGAGCGGTCAAGGAGCAGGAGCACAAGGAAACGCCTGGCCGTCAACGCCGTTCCCCTGCCCGGCAACACGCATCTACACGGCATCCCTGTGGAGCCATGTGGCTGTGGCGGATTTGGAGGAGCGGCAGGGCAACAGCAGGCGTTGCAATGCTCCCCGTGTGCACACCACTTCTGGGAATGCCCAGTGGTGCAGATGGCGATACAGCAGATCACGGCCTACGGGCCCGGACCCACATTCCAGGCAAACGTGTGGCTCACAGAAGCACCAGCAGGGGTGCAGCAGTGCGTGCGGGACGTGGTCAGCCTCGTGGCGTTGCCCACCATGGAACGTGCACGGCCGGGACTGCGGGCGGCAACCCGACCATCCACCAGGCCACAGCAGCCCCGCTGGAGGTCGCGAGAGCCCGAGTGGTGCTTGACTTCTGGCAGTGAGGTTCAGGACTTCGCAGAGCTCGGTTTGCAGGTACAGGTTACGCACCCCAACGACCATGTAACATGCACACGCACACACGCATACACACACACATAACGCACACGCACACGCACACGCACACGCACACGCACACGCACACGCACACGCACACGCACACGCACACACACACGCACACGCACACGCACACGCACACGCACACGCACACACACACGCACACGCACACGCACACGCACACGCACACGCACACGCACACGCACACGCACACATACACAGAGACACAGAGACACAGAGCTCGGCGTGTCCTGGCGCGGCTGGGACAGCGTAGCCCTGACCATCCCATTTTATATCGGTGGTGGACGGGCGCGCGCCACTGTTGCGTACAGCCAGTTGGGCTGGGAGAGGAAGGGGAGGGGGAACAGAAGGGATGCTGGAGGGAACCCGGTAGATGGGCTATCCCGTTGGCCGGGGAGGGGCTAAGGGGTTTTTCTTTCCTTGGTCTGGTCAGTGGTAGTGGGCTTTTCGAGGAAGAGGGCTCGCCCCGCCACAGGTTGCTGCAGGCAGGGGCAGTGGGGGGTTTTTTGAGAGGTCGCTGCTGTAGGGCTTGGAAGGAGTAGCAGGCAAAGGGGGTTGCTGTAGAGCAGGCTGGGTGCCGGTGTGGTGCTGTCTCGAGGCATCCCTAGCCCCACCGGTGAACTGATAGCTGCTAGCCTAGTCCGTGCCCGGGGCCCCTGTCGCGTGCGCTTGATAGGTGGCTAGCGTGAGGTTTTCGAACCCTGTCCTCTCCCCTGCAATGGAGAATTGGGTGAGAGATCAAGCTTTATATTAGGGCCTCGTGCCTTAATAGGGAGGGTTGGGGTATGTACAGGGAATCCTCTGTCTTAGTGAACCCTCACCCCGAGGGCCGGATCAGGCCAGGGATGGAGAGGAGTCTTGATTCGTGTTTCAGGCTCAGTGCGTAAACCGCATGACGAAGCCTTGACTCTTGCGAGCGTGCGCGCGTGCGATGCTCCCAACCCCCTGGGGAGGAAAGCGGAACTAGCGGACCTGCGGCTCTCGGCTTATGAGGGGACAGACGCCCCTCGAGCCCCTCTCCCGTCCGGGGGAGAGAGCTTAGGCGGGCTTTCCGAGGGCTGGGCAGCAGTCCCTGGCCAGTGTCAGGCCCGGTCATGTACTATAACTTTCACACGCGCACACACACACATTAACCCAGCGGGCATATGATATACCATCCTTCCTACATACGCCGCCTTGTGCTTGACTTGCTTAATGAACACACTGAGTTCTCCTCAGCAACTGCAATGAGCGCCATTGTTCTTATAAGATGGCTGAGCGCAAAGACATGAAGTAGCTATGGAAAGCATTTGCCCTTCCGAAGCGGCAGGAAGCTACCGACCTGAACATGCTTTTAGGACTTTCAATCTGTGCACCCGAACACACAAGTTACAATCAACGCTGTAATGCGGGTAAGTTAATAATTAATGCATTTGTCAAGCAATCGGTGTTTGACATCCGTGATAAAGTCTCTTCAGAATCTGCAGCCCGAGTGTTCAATTTGTTCATTAAAACTTGTGAAAAGTGTATGAATGTGTCTATTTGGCATGTACTTCTGTGTTAATGATACAGCCGGTGATACGCGTTTGATACCACTCGTTATCCGGAACAATCGACCCGTATCGACATGATGTAGATGTCCTGGGATCGCTGATGGATTCCCAAAAATTCTTCTGTTGCTTATCTTCAGAACAAAGTACTTCAATCTTCTATGCTAGAAATACCAGTGCTCAACGAATGCTCCTGCCTGCCGCCACCACATCTCGCTGTATGTGTCGCAAAGGCGGGATCCGCATATTGAACAACACCTTTCTCAATTGACTCCAAGCACCAATGTTGCCAATATATTTATTCAGACATTGCGATATATACTCCAAGGCAAGGAAACGAACGGCATCAATGTCAAGTGCGCTAATGCACGCACGGGTCGCGAGCGCTACAATGCTGACGAGCCCATACTTCAATCAGGAGTAAGCGACGAAAGTGAGGAATATCGACTAAGCGATGACAGTGAGAAATCGTTAATTGTGCATAACAAGCGTGATTCCCGCTTGAAGGGTTGTAGCTGCATCTAGCTTTTTGCCCGTGGCAGCAGATGGCAAATATCTACCATCGGCTGTCAAGTAAATACGGTTTTGTCGGGGATTTAAAGTAACGAAAGGTTCAAAGGAACGGAAGGAGCTACACATTGGGCTGCACGCGACTGATTTCAACCAGCTCCATTGTCGTACTGTACGTTCAAAGTAGTCTGAAGTAAAGCTGACTATAAATACGCGGTTGCCAATTATACGTCGACATACTAATTGGGCACATAGAGGGCCTACATGCGAACACCAATGAGGAATATACTGCTGGCTGCTCTTTGCGTAGTCGCCGTATTCTCGTAAGTGTCGTTGCTTACCTTGCTAGGGCCAGCTGCAGGCTTCGATGTACAAGCATGTAGGGTTCGCAGGCTTATTCTTAAACGTTTACCTACCTTCTGAGCCATGAGGAGTCGTAGCTTTAATAGCCATGCTGCAATCCGTTTGGCTTACGTCGCTTTGGCGGGCACGGGCGCCAGTATCACCCCGTGTCGTTGATCGCTGCGGCTCCCCTCATTTTGCGAAATTCACCATCATATTTGTAAATGATTGATGACTTGCTGAATCTCTTGCCACCTTGCGCTTATTTTCCAATCTGCAGGGCGTCGCACGCGCTGAGTAGTCCGCTGTCGCCCCCGCCGACAAGATACCAGGCATTTCCTTACTGCGCAAAATGCGTCGCTTTGGAGCCTATATACCGTCTAAAGCCTGATTTTGCCGGATTTGGAAATCGCACCTTCTGCTTCACGCTGGAAGTGAATCCTCTCAATGCCGACTTCATGTGCAAGAATGCATTAATCTACAAGATGGATGTGAGTATATATCAATTGAACATGTGTTGATGTAGCGCAACTAGCACTTCGGGCGGTTCTCGAAATCTAGCAGCCTTTCGCGTTACGGTTGTCGAACGTTAAAGCTTTAGTCAGTCACGAGGGCGCGCAACTGTGTGTCACTCCATTCGAGCAGATTTACCTTGCCTGGTTGTCTTCATGACATAGAACATAAGAAGGGTTATCTACTTCCATTTTTATTATCGTTAACAGCGTTCCCCGGCGAACCCGCAGATGCTTCTCAACAAAGGGTGCGGAAGGGATGTTAACGTCAAGGCTTTCGTAAATGGCGTCTTCACAAGGAGCTTCACAGAATCTCCACGTTCTGCCGCAAATGGGACTGTGATATTGAAACTGAACGATCTGACCGCGCGACACCTGGGTATCAACAGCAATGGCGCCAGGATTTGCCTTACTATATTGAATGGGGGCAAGGGCAACTGCACCACTTTGAGGTCGCTCTGTGCAGACCCTAAGACCACCAACTTCAGAAAGGATAACAACGGCACTTACAGAAATACAAATTCCCAAGAGTGCATGGTTGCGCTATTCGCCGGGATCGACAGTGGCTCCGACCGTACCTGCTGCGACCCCGGTTCTCCCCCATCTCCAACGCCGCCCCCGCCGCCTCCTCCACCACCTCCACCTCCACCTCCACCTCCTCCAGGGAATTGCACGGAGGAGAAGGTCTGTGTCTATCTGACCTTTGGGTTCCGCGAACCGGACGTCGCCTTCCCCAACGGCACCTGCAATAATTTGGCCAGCCAGATACAGTTCGACCTCCTCAACTCAAGCGCATCCTACATCTTGCAGCCCCCGGTAGTTCCACAGATCACTTGCACAGCAGACTTTATCAAAGTTTGCTTAAATTTGGACTTGCACGCTAACGCTACAGAGCTGCATTCCGTGGTTGGTGAAAATGCCGGTCCCTGGCTGAATTACGCTCACAACTCCACGTGTGCGGCAAGTCGCTCCAACTACAGCCTCACAATTACGGTCGGAGGGGATGGCGACTGGTCGACTGGCAACGTCTCGTTCCGTTGTTTCAATGCGTCAACTGAAACCAAGTGCCAAGGGCCCTCGAAGAAATCATGCAAGTGAGTCGAGCAAACCTGGAGGAGGGGGACAAGTATTGCGTGGCGGTGGGGAGTAAACATGTCTGGCGTTGATCTAATGTGGGATTGCATGCTCGACGCGGATGCATGCACGCATCCACGTACGTGTCAGCAGCTACATCTTCCTGAGCTACTGGTTTGAATTGGATTTTAGCAGCTTTGTGCCCTCACATGATTATCCTTCCAGCTGTATCCCTCTGCTCTCGCCACCTATCCCTTTCCCTCCTTTCCTCTCCTTCCTCCGCAGCTGCAATATGGCGAGGAACATCACCCCCTTCGCCGCCTTGCCGACTATGAGCGGTCCCTTCACGGGCCGCAAGAACACGAAGCTGTACTGCTTCAACATCACCGTCGTGAAGCCCATCGAGCCAAATGTGGGTCGCAGCGCTCGCTGGCGCCGCCGTACACCGCATGATAGCATGTGCATGTCCTGGTTGATGTATGTATGTATGTATGTGGCCATCTACTGGCTGCGACACGAGCACAGTAGTAGTGCCACATTGACGGCTACATCGATTACGCCTGTACAGATGTCTAAATGGTGCATGCGGCCACATCTTCCTCCAGTAGCACTCCATTACGGTTCCCTTGCTATCCAATCCTATCCCTCGCATATCCCCCCTTTACAGAGCACCTGCGGTAAAAGCAATGTGCTCGATAAGGTCATCATCTGGGCCAACGACACCAGTTTTTACCGCAGCAGCATCAAGTCCATCGCTCTCTACGCTGCGGGCGACACCACCGCGAAGTATGTCCCGCCGAGCTGGAACTCGGATAGACAGGAGGTGAAGGCAACCAAGATTGGCTGGACTAAGGATAAGGCGAACGGCGGCGCCATCTGCCTGGAGCTGGACCAAAACGTCAACCTGGCTGACTTTTGCATATGGCGGGGTCCCAAGCAGAAGAACTCTTGCATGTAAGGGCCTGGGGATTTATTTGGGGGTTGCCTGCATGCTTGTCATGCAGTGTGCATGCATGGCGGGATGTGAGTGTGCGCGAACTAGGCGGCACTCGGTCGCCATCCCGGCTGCAGAAATGCAGGCATGCACCTAGCTAGACTATTTACGCGTGCTTCCTTGCACATGGTTGAAGAGCTCTCCAATGGCACCCTAGCCTTGCACTAGCTTAGCTTTTCTACTGCTTAGAGGCGCCTCTGGGCCGAGCGTCCTGTCTACCTACCTTATTGTGCGTCCCCCATGCCCATGCCCATCTTGCTGAATGCAGGGTTTTACTTTTCGATACATCCTATAGATGCTGCCCGATGTACCGGCCGATGGCGCTTACTACGTAGATGCGTGCCGTCACAGCTGGCTAGTCTTGTGCAGAGCATGCACGTTGGATCACTGACCTGGTGAGGCGAGGAAGCCCCATCTAAGGTTGTGCGATTGGGCGATTTGTGTGTTGCGTGGTAGGATGTAGAATATTTGGTTTGCGAATGTGCTTTGGATAAAATCCATGTTGGTAGTTCCTAAACTTGTGCACGATGCTGCCCGTGAACAGGGCAGGTAAGGTTGTGTGTTTGGAAGTGTTTGGAATTACATGGAGGTTATCTCTAAGTTTCAGTGATTAACAGTGCTTAAACAGTCATGTCTGGTTTGCGGCTGTTTGCGTGTTCCTGCCTGTTCTTACCGGCCGTGTTGCCTGCTGGACCTGCCGCTGCTGCGCAGCCTACCCGTGCGATTTCGCTAGGAAGAATTTCATTTCGTTGTGCAGGTCGCCTTTCTTACTTTTTCAATTCTGTCTGTCAGAGGTGCTTGCTTCCTTGCAGCAGGTGGAACTGATCACCTCGCCGCCGTTTCGATCATTTAAATACCCCCTACGTCGCGCAATGATGTGGGGTATCGTAGGCTGCTTTATGCAGCCTCGTTCGCTTATTTGATCGCACCTGCGATTGTAGCAGCTTCATTCATTAGCTGAATCAAGTGAGCGAGCACGCTCGGTCGGTCAGGTTTTATAACATGCTGCTTGCTGCTCAAGCTTTTGCTAATATTGTATAGCGCAGGTACGCTTTGCTGATTGCTTCTGGGGTCGCCTAGTTCGGGGCTACTGCTTGCATGCTGTGTGTGGTGAGATAGCAGGCTGGCTGCCATTACTGCGGAGTACGCAGCTCTTCAGCCATATATTCATAGTTAGGACGAATTGATTAGCCAGCCCATGGCGATGTCAGTTCAGTTCAATGTCCATTTTCATACGCGCCTTGCGTTTTGTTTATGGCTGTCAGTCTGCGTGATCACCTTATGTTAGATCGATGCATCCTGCAATCGTTTTGTGCGTTGTAACACTGCGAGCGCGACAGGCAGAGTGTTAGGCGTATTGGCGAGAAATGTCCTGTTCGGTTAGGGCGGTTTGGTTAGGGCAGTTTCTAAAGATCCTCTGCCGGCTGATGGAAATATCGGTGTTTATGTGTAGGAAATTTCTCCCGCCCGCCATCCATCCCCAACATTACCGTGTAACATAATCCAACAATCCTTGGCCCATCCTATCCTATCCAAGCAGGTCTTCAAGCATACTTTTTCATCTCCTTCACACTGCAGCCGGCAGCAGGCATGATTCCTGCGAACAAAGTTCTGCACGCAACCCATCCTTATCCGCAAATATTCTTCAGCAAAAAGATTTAAGTCATAACGCAATTGATGTCCCCAGACGGGTAAATGCTTGAGCGAAGAAGAAACTATATCCGAAGCTCTGAAAAACCCATGTCAGGGGCGGGCTCCAGATCGGCGTCCAGTATCCTAACTCCTGCGTAACACCCAACCTTGTTGCCAGCCCTCTTGTGCGTTCGTGCGTTCGTGCCGTCCTTGAAGTTCGGCATCACTGCCTGCTCGGTCGCGTCCTTGTGCCTATCCTTCTGGAACAGCCGCTCGTCCAACATTGCTTGTGCCACTGCTGATGGTTCCCCCAGAAATGAGGCTGAGCTCCTCCGTGATTGCCGCTTCCGACAAACCTGCACTTTCCCTACGACCACCCCCTGCAGCACGACCCGCCGTATCTTCTCGTGTGACAGCAACCCCTCCCGAAACCCAGCAAAACTCCTTGCGCTGCGTTTTGTGGCTGAGTCCCCCAGCGAAAAGGAGTCCGTTCGGGCTCCACTTGCCGCAGGTAGGAAGCGCAGCAGCGATGCACGTCCCTGTTGCCTCTGTCGCCAGAAGCAACACATCTCCCACCCGGACCCGTCATTCTTCCGTTGGACCGAGAACAGCTCGACTCGATACCCGTACAGCTAGACATCTTTGACCAACAATTGTAAAAGGAAATCTTTTATGCATTGTCTTCACTTGAAAAGCCCGAGTACCGCACAAACATGAAGGCGGCCACCGTCAGGTCATGCAGACGGGGCTCTCCAGCTAACACCCCTCCCCTAACTTTGTGCACTGTCTCCGTCGTCAGCGGCTCCTTCCGACTCCGCAGACTGACTCCCGAGCGCCGCTTCACTGTCATGCGCACTACTGCCTTGCAAAGCATGTGTTTTGTCGGCTGGTTCGCAGGCCCCTCCATTTTTTCGTATGCAGCGATTGCCGCGCTTCCTGTCTTAACCACCCGGCGTATGTGTTTGTGTTCGGGTGTTATGCATATGAAGGTGCTCGTTCAGCGACCGTCGGCAAAGCAACGACAGCAGGACGCTGTGCTGGCGGAAGTCGCAACCTAGATGCCTCTCAAGTCTTTCCAGGTCCCCTGGTACTGCGCCCAAGGACGAAATCGCCAGGGAACCGACCACCAGTCTTTGGGAACGTTCCGCCAAATCCCAATTCAATGGGTGAACTGCCTGACGCCAACCGTGCTCCGAAACCACTTCGCTCATAAGTGCGACATCAGCAAACAACCTTGGGTTCCCTTGCTTAGCTTCGCATGCTACAAAAATTGATAACCTGTACGGTATATGCGTCTCCATCTCCACAGTTTCGCCGCCGCATGGAAAAAAACGTGCGACAGTCACAACAACCAAGATGGGTTTTTATAAGAAGCGTAATTGTGTTAGTGGTGTTCTAAGATGTTGGTGTTGGGGGAACTTGAGTACGGAGCGCAGGTTAAGATACCAGTATGTTGCCATAGCCGCTGACTGGCACATCGTGAAGCTGGGAAGGTGCGCACGCCATTCTAGGGGGTTCGGCCTCTAGCGCAAAAGCTTAAAGGCGAGGAGTCAAGGAGACATCTTATGATGGGGGCCCCTGCGTGACACTACAGAGATATGCACAGTTTGTTTTCAGTATCAATGCTCAACGAAATAATAGGGTCGATGGGCTTACGATAGGTGTTCTTGTGAAGCAGTCGGCCAACCTGCACGTATTTCTGGATCGCAGTGCGATTAAGGCTATGGTTAGGTCCACAATAGTTATGTCCGCATGAAGCATAGTAATGTTTGTTATTCGGGTTGTAAAGCTGAGCCGTTGAACCATTTTCCATTTCAGTTAAGACGTCGTACATCTTGCGGTCATCAGCTAGCCCGACTGCCTCTCATTCCGGGCGATAAGCTGCAATTGGACTGCGGATTGCCCCATAACTCAGATCTTAGCAGTGACAAGGGCATAGCATAGGGAGGTCGTCATCTGGTCGGCGGCTGCATTTTCGGGACGCTGCGCCGTGCCGCAGATCCTGTTTCGAGAGCCAGTTGCATTGGGAAGAATCTAAGTGATTTAAAATTATAACTTAGTGAATATCTGTCCATCATGGCGTCAAAGACGGATAAGGACACTCCAGCGGCGCAGGACCCATTGAAGGAGGATCCCAGCGTCATCGTGGACAAGGCTGAATTCCCGGAGCCGTCTCTATACTTCAAGGTTTTTGAATCAGAGGAAGACGAGCCGGACTCTAAAATCCGTTCAGATGTCAACAAGCTTTACGAGCGCTGGATTGAAAAGTACGGTCGCCGCTGGCCAGAGGATGGCATCAACACGGAGGATCTGGTCTGGCTTGCGGAGGAGGCCAAGAAGCCCAAACGCGGGCCGCCGGCGCCGCGAGGCACGCCGGTCGAGAAATCCGAGTATACCGATGAGTTCATGCCCTTCTCCGACGACGGCGAATCCCCCGCCGCACCAGCTGACGGCGCTTCTGGTACCAGCCGTAGGAAATCCTCTACCGCAGCTGCCGCAGTCGGCGATTCCGGCGGAGCCAAGCCTGCTGCAGCAGCTGCTTCAGGCGCCCCTCGCAAGCCTCGCACCAACTACGAAAAGACCGTCGCGGGCGGCAAATGGGTCACCGACGAATTTGAATCCGCCGACTATGAGGCCGGGAACCTGGAAAAGCTCTGGAACATGTACCTTTGGGATCGCGAGGGCAAACCCACGATGATGCCGGACGGCCCGCCAGCTCAGCAGGAGGGTGAGGAGAGCGAGGACTGGGACGATTTTTACACGGCGTACCGCCCCCGCGATATTGACACGGAGGAAGCCCGGGAGGCGGTTTGGGCCACCGACGAGTTCGAATCCGATGAGGACAACACCGAGAGCGAGTGGGCACCTGAGTATGTGGGGGCGGGTTTGGGGCTGAAGGCCGAGGACCCGCTCAATCCGCAGTACTCTCTACGGCACAGCAACCACCCGCTGGCGCCCTTCCCTGGAGAGCCGCTCAAGTGGGCGTCGTACGTGTACCCGGACTTTACCACGTGAGTCGTACATGCTGTACTCACGTACGGGCCGTATACATGCCGTACGTGGGTGGTGAGGGTGTGGCAGGGAGTTGAGAAAGGATGTGGGGTTTGCTCAGGAAGGGACGGTGTGAAGAGAGAGCGGCGGGAGGGTATGTCGTACATTGTTGTTGTGTCGTTAATGAGGGGATGTACGAGGGGAGTGGAGGGAGGGCGGCCAGGGGTTGCCCCGCAGCGGGGTTTCGTAGCTTAATGGTGTTGGGGGGAAAAGGGGTTCTCAAGGGCGAGGTGCCGGTACGAACGTAGAGACGACCTGCCGTACTCCTCTCGTACATGCCGTACTCCTGTGGGCTAACCTACCCCTCCCGCCTTTCCGCTCCACACATCCCCCTGTCTGCCCGCTGCTATTCCGTGTACGCCCATGTGTAAATGTGTGCGTATGTATGTATGTTTGTATGTATGTAGGTACGAGGGCCTCACTAAGCAGTCTATCCCCCACGGCATGGGCGTCATGACATTCGGTACGGGCACCGGCGCAGGACTCCCCATGAACCTGACCAGATATGGAGACAAGTAAGTGATCTATGTATGTGTGTATGTATGTATGTATGTATGTGTGTATGTATGCTTGCTTGTTTTTTGGACGTTCTTAGATTTGATTAAGCAGGACTGTCTGTTGATGCGCTGCTTGGTGAGGGTGTGGAGGTGACGACGTGTGTGTGGGGGGGGGGTCGGGGGGTGAAGGGCGGGGTTGAGTCCGCTAAGAGTCCGCTAAGAATTTTCAGTAGGAGCGTCCCCTCAAGGAATAACATCATCGACAGTCAATCGATCTTCTTTTGATACTTCCAATCTGTTATTTGGGATCCGGATCTAGAAAATTTTAAATCCGGGCCATTTAATGAGCTCAACAGGTCATGTTAAATTGTTCCACCGAGCTTCACCCCTCCGCAACCCTTGAGGTGCCTAACATCATTAACATTATTAAAAACGTGGGCGTATGCGTTCAAATCCGTCCAAAGCCAGAAAGTAATCCTTCGCAGCACTGCCCCCTGCACAAGAAGATGGTCGTACGGACGATAATGCGATTTGAAATCTGGTAGCTTGGATCTCAGTTATAACCTTCACCTTGGGATTACGAACTGGTAGCGCCACATGTGTGTGTGTGTGTGTGTTTTTCACGAGTGCGGACCCCCCTCCCTCCCCGGCTACTAAAACCCTAAACGTGCCTTTTGTGTTTTTCCCCCCTCATCCCCCCACTCCCCCTTCTTTCCCCCCACCCCCGCCCCCGCCCCCGCTCCCCCCCCTCGCCCGGCCCCCTAAAGGTATGAGGGTGAATTCCAGGCGGGTTACGCCCACGGCCTGGGGCAGTTCACCTCGGAGGT